TAAATTTCATACTTAGCATTATTATTCATTTTTTTATTTATTTTTAATTATTCATTTGTAATTAATAATTATTATTTTTATTTTTTCTCACATATATATAATTTTCGACCCAGTGATAAATTCTACTTCATATATTTTTATTTTTATTTAAATATATTTTTGATTGTAATAATTATTCCTAAAAATACTTTTCGCTGGTAATCGAATTCCTCATCAAAATTACGATATGTATGTATAATTATACCTATGTACGTTGCTTATTGGGTGGAATATTTTCAGTTCGATTGTACATTTAGGTCATTCCAGATTCTAGGTAACAATATATAATCAGCTGTATATCTCTCTGTCCTTAAAAAGACAATTCATAAACATATTTAATGACATAATTTGTATCAATAATATTGTTTATAGAAAATAATTTATGCACTGATGGAATTTAAGTGTAGAGAGAGAGAGAGAGAGAGAAATATTTTGCAATAATTTTCCTTGAGCGTGTATTGTTATAAGTTGTCGCGATGATTAGTCAATCATCATTTAGTGGTCTAGTCAATATTATTTGCATAATATTAAGTGGATACACTACGCTGATCATGGCACAGTGACATTGAATTTCTTCTGATTGTTAATTCGTTGGGAAAAAGCAAAAAAAAAAAAAAAAAAATCTAGCGCACTTGAGGCGTGGAAATTTAATGTTTATATTTTTGTTATTTCTATTATTATATTATTTTCTACTTTTAAATTTTATTTTTTATTGAATTATTTTTATTTTTTTATTTATATTTAATATTTTTAATATTTTATATAGTGGTCATGATTATTGTACTTATATTATAAGAAGATAATAATAAATTTATAGAATGATTTATATAGTAAATTAAATAATCATATAATTTTTAATAAAATAAAGTTTAGGGTTTTTCATATTTTTAAAAAAAGCGCACCAAAAAATTTAAAATAGAAAACTAATATAAAACATTCGACAAATTTCTTTCGGACATCAGTGTCCGAAAATGCTTTGTAAGCATTTGAATAGTAAATATTATAAAATTGTTGTTGTAGATATTAAAAGTAATATTAATTAAAAATTCTTGTGTTCGATATACAAAAGGAAGAGTGAGAGAGAAAAGAAATTGTAACAGATACTTTTCCTATCTTATTTTCTTTTGTCCTAGAAAGAACAAAGGATACATTTTCTCCATGGAAATTCAAATCTCATACTCTGAATGTTACTGAGTTTCTTAACATTTTTTTCCTTTTGAATAACGAATTGCCTTCACTTTAATTTGTTTCTTATTCATTTTGATATTCTTCTTATTTATTTATTTCCTTTTTTTTATTAACTTTTTCTGAGTTTTATACTTTGAAATTTATATTCCCTTTGGTGAAGCGAGAAAAAAATAAAATAGAGTAGGAAATTTAAATATAGAAATGATGAGAAAAAAGAATAAGGGATTATAATAATTATAGTTATATAGGAAATGAGAAATCTAAAAAATGAGTATAAAATTATAATAAAAAGTTCATGTCTATTAAAGATAGGGTAAGTGTGGGTATTCCTGCGAGTGACACAATTATTGCAATTTTTAAAAAATTATTATTTTCATTTTGAAATACACGCCTAATTTTTTCAAAATAATTACAAAAATTATTTTGAATCTTACTTGATAGAATAGCTCATAAAAATGTACATTCCGACAATTATTTATTTATTTATTTAAATTTGAAATATATTATGACAGAATTCTGTGAAATTATCAAATATGGCAGTCATGAATACATATTAAAAACCATTGATATTTCCAATATTCACTATAGTATACACGTTTCAGTGTTACTAATCAAAGAAGTACACTTTATTATTTGAAAAATATATTAATTTACCCATATATTATTGATTTTCAATTAATAATACTTAAAACTATATTAGTAGCAGAATTTTTACTGCATGTTAGTATTATTGCGATTTTTAAATACGTTTACTGCGCAACGCATACTAAACATAACCTATTTTTTGACAACCAGCGCGCTATGCGACACCTGATTTTCTGCAATAATGCTCGCACAATAATTGGTGTTTCCTTGATAAATGTCACACAATATTAATCGCGAGTCAACAATAATACATGTGTTGACAATTAGTTTTTAATTTACTTTTTTAAATACAAATAAGTAACGAAATTTGATTGAGTTTAATGATTTGGAAAATATAATAATTGAACTTTAATTTGTAATTGAAAAAACTGCATTTTATTTTTTCGTAAACTTAGACGAGCTTCGCAAAGTTAACCTACACTAAAAATTCGCAGAAATACCCACACTTACCCTATTTGAAATTTTCTTGTGGTTATAATCTAAGAATTTAATTTACACTCAACACTTATATATATATATTTATATAATAGTTCTTTAGTGATACTTGACTTTAATTAAATATTTTTTTCCTTTTAAATTCAATTAGGAAAAATTTTTACTTAGTTTCTATATAGTGAATTAAATTTTAAATAAAAGCTAAAGTAGCTTATTAAAATCTTTTAATAATTACGAAGATAAAAATCTACCTTTAAAGACCTCGAGTAAATACAAAATTTTTTGCAGCTTATTTTAATTTGTCAAATTTATAATTTTGCTATAAAAAATTAGTCATTTTTTAAAATTAAAATCTATTTTTTAAATTAAAAACTACTTTTAGAATTATAAGCTATTTTTAAAATTAAAAACTACTTTTAAAATTAAAAACTGCTTTTAAAATTAAAAACTACTTTCAAAATTAAAAACTACTTTTAAAATTAAAAACTACTTTTAAAATTAATAACTATTTTTACTTTATCTAAAAAATATTTTTGTGTTTAGAAAAATTTTATTTTATTCATAAATTTCTTTGAAATAAAAATACATATATAAAAATACAAACGTAAAAAAGAATTGTCTCAATAAAGTAAAAAGTGCATAATAATTCAATTACAAACTACGAAGTACATTACTAGAAATTATAAAAAAACGGATAATTGAATTGATATTTCTTTTTTGTAACAATAATTCGGTGATTATTAAAAATTTAAATTATAATTAAAAAAATTTCGTTGAGATTTTTATATTCGAATATTGCACAATTTTTAATTATAGATATGAAATAAAATAAAAACTACAAGTTATTTATATTCACCGTGTAAATTATTTTTTTAACTTAATTTTTCTTTTATCAATTTTAATTATATTTTTAATATCAATCTGAATAATTAATATTCTACTTTACAATCAATCGATTTGATAATAATATAAATGCAATTATTATTAATTATTTATTATAATGTTATATATAAACAATTGTGTATAATAATATTATATTAATAATATATAAAAATATTAATTATTAATGAATGAACAATTACCTATGATGATAATTAATAAATCATTAAAAATTATTAATAATTTTGTTGATAATTAATTAGTAATGAATTTTATAACATTATAGTAAATAAATTAATAATTATAATATGACCTTAATAATTATTTATAATATTATATTAACAGTTAATTATTATAATAATTGATATAATAAATAATCAAAATTTATTAATTAGTAATTATTAAAATAATTAACTAAATAATATAATTCTTAAAATTTTGTTTTAATTATTTTGATTACTACATTTTTCAATAAGCAGAAAAATATAAAAAAAAACTTTTCGAAATTAGAACTAAAAATTAATTTTCTAAACCGCCTTAATAACCCCTATTTCGACGATATATATTTAACAATAATATACAATATTATTTATTTAAATAATTATCCTTGTAGTGAATCTAAATTTATTTCTCAATACAACCAAGGACGTTCGATTGAGAAATTCAATTTCGATTCACCCAATTTGAAGAGTATTTTATTAAAATATCCCAAACATTTTTTTTAGAAAATTCCTACTACTATTTACTTGTAATTAATAATAATTAATACTAATTAAAAATCAGTAATTAATAGTATAATTAAAAAAACAGTAATTAATAATTATTAATTAGGTAATGAATAAGAATTATTTGCTATTACTTACCAGTAATTAATACTGATTAATTACTATCAATTAATACTAATTAATTACTACTAATCAATATTAATTAATCACTAACAATTAATACTAATTAATAACTATAAATTAATATTATTTAATTACTAGTTATTAATACCATTTAATTACTCAGGATTAACAAAATTAATTACTAGTAATTAATATAAAGTAATTCATAGTTATTAATTAATAGTATGTATTTAAAAGTAATTAATACTAATTGCCAGTAATTAATAATAATTACTACTAATGAATTAATAAATTAATCATACTACTAATTAATTAATAATTACTTCTAATTAATTACTAGCAATTACTACTAATTAATTACTATCAATTACTACTAATTGAATACTATCAACTACTATTAATTAATTACTAGCAATTACTACTAATTAATTACTAGCAATTACTACTGATTAATTACTAGCAATTACTACTGATTAATTACTAGCAATTACTACTAATTAATTACTAGAAATTACTACTGATTAATTACAAACAATTACTACTAATTAATTACTAACAATTACTACTGATTAATTACTAACAATTACTACTAATTAATTACTAGTAATTGTAAGCAATTAGTAGTATTTAATTACTAGTAAATTAAAGTAATTAACTACTATTTAATTATAAGTAATTTAAAGTAATTAACTACTAATTAATTACTAGTAATTAACTACTATTTAATTATTAGTAATTTATAGTAATTAACTACTAATTAATTACTAGTAAATTAAAGTAATTAACTATTATTTAATTACTAGTAATTTATAGTAATTAACTACTATTTAATTACTAGTAATTTATAGTAATTAACTACTATTTATTTACTAGTAATTTAAAGTAATTAACTACTATTTAATTACTAGTAATTAATAAAATTAATAATTATTGAATTCCAATTATTAAAAAGTAAATTTTCGGTAGTAATTAATTAACATTAATTACGTAATCGTAATTAAATAATAATAACTAATATAGCTGGGAGATTTAATTACAATAATGGAATTATAATATTAAAAATACTTTGTACATAATAATTAGCTTAGAATTTACAATTAATAATGATGTTTCTCAAAGTCGTAAGCGTAATAATCGGGCGCTGTGTGCACATATTTGTGAACTGGAACTGGCGCCGGATGAACAGCTGGTCCAACTTTTTTCACCACTGCATTAAAACCATTGTGATCGTCAGCTGTGTACTCGACAATTCTTACACTTCCATCGGGTTCATTTACACTATAAGAGCCGTGTACCACATCACCGTCACGAATTTCGTGTTGAGTTTTTACATCACCAGTGTGGGGATCATGAACTCCATAGTTGAATGTGTACTTTGGATGAGCCTGAAAAAAAGGAAAAAAAATTTTTTTTTTGTTATTTAATTGCTTTCAGAAATATTCTTGGAAACATTTACCCTCCTATTTAGCGCGCGCAACGTAAGCATCGAGGCGGGGCAATGAGTGTGAGAGAGAAGTATTGCGACTTCTCTCTCACTCTCATTGGGAAATTTATTCGAGACATGCGCAGCAGTGTTTGGAGCAATTCTAACATGCGCAGTAGTTTTGGGCGCAATTCTAACATGCGCAGTAGTTTTGGGCGCAATTATAACATGCGCAGTAGTGTAGGACGCAATTATAACATGCGCAGTAGTGTTGGGCGCAATTCAAACATGCGCAGTTGAGTTGAAAACAATTGTCACATCCAATACAGTACTTATTGACTAAAATAATAAAAAAATACAGGAAAATACAAATAATTTTGATAATTACAGTAAAAATAAAGATTTAAATGAATAGTATGGCAATACTTTCGTTTGTCACACGGGAAATTAATGCGACAAGTTGGTACACGCCCACTGGAGGTATTTAGTAATTCGAGTATTATGCGAGAAGAGAGTTACGAGTTACACAGTACAACGTAAACGAAAAATATTCTCATAATAGCTTCTGTTGGCGAAGAGATATACATATACAAAGGTAGAGCCGCAGGATGTTATAGGTCATGCCGAAGTCAGTTAGTCAGTTACACGTTCACACTATACCATTCATGTCTCATGCCGCGCCTAAGTGGCTGCATTATTCTTTTATCTCTATAGGTGGATCTTCGGTGTCACACGAGTCTCTATATAGTAGATATACATATAAGGCACAAGAAAAAACTCGAACCCATAATTTTTTTTTCCCAACTATTTATATCAGGTGAAAATTGAAACCTCATTAATTTTAGTGAAAAAAAATCTTTACTATTGATACCATTTTGTTATAGGGAATAAAAATACAAGTACTCTTTATTTTCAAGTCGTTCTATATAGGCAATGTTTAGTAAAAAAAAAAAAAATAGTTGCAAATTAATAATAAAAAAATAATAATAATGAAAAATAAATGGAAGAAGAAATAAAAAGACGAAAGAAAGAAAACGAAATAAAGAAATGAAGGTAAGATAGAAAAAGAATTGCGCAATAAATAAAGTGAAAAGTCAGTGAAGGTCTCAAGAAAGGTCTAAAATTAGTCAAAACAAGAATAATTACTTGGCAATATAGTAGTAATTGCGGATAAATTAATCAATAGCTCGAAGAACACGGATTAATTAATTTTCCTTTAAATATCAATTACACGAGTTTAATCATTTAAATGAAAAATAAATATTTTAGTAATTGTATTATTATGTTTCCTTCTTTTTTGTAATAATTAATAATATTATTAACGATATTAATAATAATATTAATAATAAATTTTAATAATAAATTTTAATAATTAAAGGGAAAAATAGTAAATTAACTTACATAATAATCATGATCGGGTTCGTGATGTTCATGATGAAGATGTTCATGATGGAGATGTTCATGATGAAGTTGTTCATGATGAAGTTGTTCATGATGAAGATGTTCATGATGGGGATGAGGAAAATGAAGACTTGTGTGTAAATCTTGAGCCGTTATGTGTAAGGGTGATGCTGACACTGAATGAATTGGTACTGCGACAGTTGGCAGGACTGCGTGTCCATCGTAATCCTCGAGACTCGCGTAATCAAATACACCACCGTGTCCACCATTATAACCGCTGATAACAAGGCCATTGCACCATGCAATTAAAGCCCCAATCAAAATAAGGATCTGGAAACACACATTTCCTTATATTATGCTTCGTATCCCATCAAAAATTAATTTTCTTATGTTAAGTTGTTTCCCTCGGTTTCGTTCGTCGTTCAATCATGGTTACACTTATTAAAATATTACATATTATATTCACATATGCACATTATACACTTACACATGTAAATAAAACTCTTTACATGTGCCTAAAATTCATGCATTTACACATATGCATAACTCACTTACACATGTGCATAACACATTTGCACATGTGCATAAAACACTTACACATGTGCATAAAATACTTACACATGTGCACATATACCCAAAACTTATACTCAAATACATATCCAAAACTTATACTCATACACATATACACATATACCTCAAAACTCATACACATATGCATATACACAAATCAAAAATATACATACTTTCACATATACATAAAACATTTACACATTTAACCATAACTCATACATTTACACATATATGCACATGTGCACATATACTCAAAACTTATACGATATTCGTACACATGCATATGTGCGCACATATACTCAAAACTCATACACATATGCACAAATCAGAAGCACACACACACTCACATATACATAAAACACATACACTTACACCCCAAAATCATATATACATATCGACAAAATATACACAAGATACATACCCAACACTCATACACATACAGAAATACATGTTCACATATACACTAATACATATTCACACATACACAAATGCATATTTTCACATACACAAATGCATATTTTCACATACACAAATACATATTCACATATACATTTATACATATTCTCACATACACATATACACTAATAAATATTCACATATGGATTTGTACATATTCACAAAAAAAAAATATATATACACTTACACATATACTCAAAACATATACACATAAAATATATTTATATTGTAATATTAAAAGATAAAGTAGTGTAAAATAAAATGGATACTATTTTAAAATAAATAATGAAAAATACATTAATATGATTTACACAAATTTTACTACTTACATTTCAGTTTCATCAATAATATTAACATTAACACAATAATGATAACAAAATAATCAATAATATTAATATTAACACAATAATAATAACAAAATAATAAAAACAAAATAACAAAATAAATTTATTTATTTATTACCTCATATGATAAGCTACAAAACTCTAACGAATTTATACAAATTTATTATTAACCGAATTAATTATTATCAAAAAATTTTTTAAGTTTAAAAATATGAAAAAAAAGAAAAAATTAAATGTACATTCTAAAATTGTGAAAAATTAAAAATAAATTGTATGAGACATCTATATAAACTCAGTATCAGTTGCGCGACGATTATTTAATAAGAGTGTCTGACTAAAGATATTGCTTCACTACTGCTTTTACTGCACTTTACTGATGAGGGGACTTTTAATAAACAAATGATTAATAATACAAAAATTGGTATAATTGGAGTGTTATATTATATAATAGTATATATAGCTATACATATATGTGCATATAAACTACAAATGTATATCTATAGGTTATATATATGTTCTTTTTTTTAATTGTGGGAATAAACGTGAAATGCAAAATAATTGAAAACACAATTAGACTTTTGTCTCGACGAAAGATAGTTTTCCGCTTATTCTCTGAGACAATATTATTGTTCCTCCAGTTCGATAACTTTATTTACCGAATGACATCATTCCAGACAATTAATTAATTTCACTGTCACACGTTACTACTGATGTTATAAAACATGCCACTGGTTTTTTTTTTATTTCATCTTGTACTCTATTTTCACAAACTGTTCATTATTATTTTCTAACATTTATAAATGAAGATTTTTTTTTAAAAAAGAAATTTTTATTTTTTAATTTTAGTTTTATACTATTTTTTATTTTTCTGTTTTTAATAATATTTTTAACATCATTATATTTTAATAACATTTTTAAATTTCTATTAAGTTAGAATCATTTATTTTTATCTATTATTTTTGATTAATTAAAATTTTTTTATTATTATTATTATTATTACTTTTTCGTGGAGGAAGTTTTTTTTTGTTTTATATTAATAAAATGATTTATTTCAATCTATTTATTATTATTTATTAATTGTTAATTTAAAATTTTTTACTATTTCTAATTTTAAATGATCACTAAATATTTCTTATTTTTTAAATTATTTTCATTTTAATTCATTTTAATCTTATTCACTTTGACTTTGTGTTAATTAAAAATTTTTTATTTTTAATTATTGCCAAGTAGATATTATTAAATTATTTTGTTAAATTAATTAATTTTTAATTTACTATTATTTATTTGCATTGCTTTATTTATTTATAATTAACATCAAGGATGAATAAATTAATTTTTGTCATTATTATTATTTTTTCTTTTATTACTTTTGAGAAATCTGCTAACAAATACTTTCAACACTATAATATTTCAATATTATGTGAGGTTGATATATAAATTTTATTTTTATATTTACTTTTTAATTTAAAAATTTTTCAATGCGACTACGTTCTCTGCCTGCGGATATTTTGCGTTATTAGTTTAAAAGACAATAAATCAGTGTCTGCGGAATTTACAACCCCCGTACAAAAAAAATTTGTATTATTACCATTGTTGCTTCTTTTTCACCCCTTTTCAATATTTTTATTAAAACATTTTTATTATTTTTATTATTATTATTATTATTATTATTATTATTATTATTATTATTATTATTAATTAATATTTAAAAATAATTGTAAAAAATTTTCAAAAAAATTGCCAAATAGAAATTTTTAATTATTTACTAAAAATGTTAATAATATTTGCTATTTTCTATATTCATATTATTAAATTCTTTCTTTGAAAAGAGACAATTTTTACGAAAAAAATTTTTATATTAAAAATTTTTCTATATCTCTAGTTTAAGCGCGTGACATCTTTCTATATTGTGTATATATATACGTATATATACAGAGAGGGTTATAAATCACTGGTATGACGTGAAGATGATTCACTCGAATTAGAAATCCATTAGTGGGCAAAGTTTTTCCAAAAAGAAGGGTAAAATAAAAGTTTTTTTTTAAATTGATTTTAAAAACACTCCTGAAGTACACAATTCTTTTTCTTTTTCATACACATATTACGAAATAATAAATACGCGTAAATATTTTAAAGAAAAAAAATTCTTTTTCATCTCACAAAAAAATTTTATTTCGATATTTGTCAAATACCTTCAACATGATTTTGGACTTTTTTTCGCGAGTAATGTGATATGCTTTGTAACTATACGAGAAAGTACGAAGATACTGATAGCATCATCCCCAGGTTATGGGCTTATATTCATCTCCCACCATAACTTCTTCGAACTTACCTATTTGAATCTTACAAAACCAACAGTTCCCCAACTCTTATTTCATGTATATTATACATGTAACTATAAAAATCTCATATTCATCAAAAAAAAAGTGTGCGTGTGCCATCTTCGAAACTTGATTTATTTTCCCGATAGTAAAAAAAAATTATTTTACTTTCTACAATATTTTTTTTTCTTTTAGAGAAAGAGATATAGTAAAAAATTTTTAAATTCTGTAATTTTTCTTTTTCTTTTACAATTTCAGAAGAAGAATTAGTAAAAAAAAAATTTTTTAATTCTGTAATTTCTTTTTGATAGAAGAATAATTATGGATAAAAAAAATTTATTTCCGTTTCTTAAGTATTATTTTGAACATATAAAGAAAGATAATTGCGTCTTGTAAAAAAAGGAGTGTCCTATATTCTTTTTATAGTAGAAGGTTATTAAAAAGGTACCATTTTTTTTTAAAGATACAAATTTTAAGAATATCCGGTGCCACTCGCTTGAGAAGGATCAATAGATTTTATATAATATTTTTCATAATTTGCTGATTTCTGATTATATTATTCTAAAATGCAAATATTTATAAAATTTACATGTGCTTATATATTATTATATATGTGAATAAGTATTCTATATGTGTAAGTATATATGTGTATGTGTATATATGTGTAAGTTTACACATGCATGTGTAATTTTATATGTGTATGTGTTTTGTGTATATGTGTAAGTTTATATGTGATTAGTGTATATGTGTAAGTTCAAGTTTATATGTGAATGAGGTTTGTATACATGTGTGTGTTTATATGTGTAAGTGTACATGTGTCTGTGTTTTGTGTATATGTGTAAGTTTACATGTGAATGAGTCTTGTGTATATGTGCAAGTATATATGTGAATGAGTATTGCGTATATGCGTTAGTTTATATGTGTATGTGTATTTATATATGTCTATGTAATTTGTGCGTATGTGTAAGTATATATGTGAATGTGTTTTGTGCGTATGTGTATGTAAATATTTTAATGAATTTTATTTATATGTGTTTATATGTGTATATACTTTCATATTTTTTATATATTTATACACATTATGTGTTTTCCCTCTTTTAATAATACAAACAACAAAAGATAAATATTGAAATTTGAAAAAAAATTGCCAATATGCACCACCGTTACCCATTTCTACTTCGTTAGCATACAATTTTAAAATAATGGAAACTGGATTACACACGTTAATTATTCATTAAAATACAGTAATAACAGTTAAATAATTACCCTTATTGGCGCATAAAATATAATAACGAACCGTGAAATCAATAATTAGTACCCCATTGCAATGAAAACACTTTTGTAATTAAAAATTTATAATTCTAGCCATCTTTCACAAAGTTCGGCGCACATACATATAAATATGCAACGTGATTTCATAATCAGTTAGTAAATTTTCTTCTTATCATTAACTTTGCATTGACTCCACAAACATTAAACTATACTATAATTCATCTTTACGCGAGAAAAAGTAATTCAAATATAACCATCTGTAACATCCGACGAAGTAAACCCATTAAATCCTCATTATAAAATAATCTCTATTCAATAATATACAGATGTTGAAAAGTCTCGAATATAAAACTTTTTGTTTTAATAAAAACCGTTAGTAAAATTAGTGAATTAGTGTATTACATTTAATTATATTTAATAACATAGAAATTAGTGTATTATATTTAATAACATAAAAATTACTGTATTATATAAATGATTATAATTATTGGTATCATAAAAAACACACTTCACGTTTTATAATCGTTTATTACGTCTTTCGATTATTTTCAAATGCGAGTGGTCATAATAGTTCCATAAGGAAATGTCATAAGCTTCACAAAGGCTTCATATATGGAAACTTATTTATTCCAATTCGTATCAAATTCAATTGTGTGCTTACATGTTCGGATTCGTGACAGTTTTTCCCAGACATTTTCATGAAATTTTTTCCCTTTTCCACATTGGCCATAAAGCCACTTTGAAATATTACAAAAAGTATCAGAGAAGTCGAAAAAAAACTATTACAGAAATAAAATTATCAAATGGGGAGAAAAAGGAAAAGTAATCGAGGAAAGAAAACATTTTTTAAAATAGAATATGTAGTAGAGTTTTAATATAGAAAAGAAAGTCATATGAAATAATGTTTTTGATTAAAAATTTTGTTTTCATAAAAAACATTCTATATATGTTAAGATGGAGTTATTAAAGGGAGAGTAGAGTCGCATCTTCAATTGTGTATGCATATATACTATATATGACATATCCGCAATATATAGGTGTGCATATAATCTGTACGTGCCAAGGATACGTTGAGACATTTCTCCTGCATACAATCTTTCAAACATGTTACGGGAATGAACCGTGAGGCACACGTAGCACGACGGCCCAACATTCACGTGATTGTATTGAAATGGCACTCGTAAACAATACATTGCATAATGCGTGAATGTGTGTATGTATATATCCGCGCCAATTGACATAAGCCCCGGCAATAGGGAAACACAAGTAAAAACTGAAGTAGACCACCAAGTGATGTAAAGTGACAAGAAACACTAGAGAGGCTAGTACCGGAAACTTTGAATTCTAACTGTGAAGGATTTAATTAAATTTTCATCCAAAAATTAATTAATTAACATCTCATCGATGTTCGAAAATGTGAATTAATAAATTACTTTCATCAATTCGACGCTAGATCATCAAAGTGCCCCTTAATCAAACCATCTGAACCATCTATCTATAGTGTAGGTGGCGCAAAGGCGGAAACAAAAATTCACTTGCAGTTCTCTTAACACTTCGTACTCAGTGGCAGTTCACAGCAGTACACAGTCGATCAGATTTGACAGTGTCATTTCTGACCACTTTCCGAAGTACAACTACAGTGCTGATTTACAATAACAAACCCCTAGAGACAAGCGTAGAGAAATATTTATTACCCAGAATATTTCGAAAATTCCCTGAAAGAAAGGCTTGCTTAAACTGAACGTAACAATTATTCATCGTTTTGCAAAAAACGTTGAATTTATAAAAACAAACATTTGAGATTCCCGATCGAAAATAATTTTCTAAGCTCTAGAAAACCCTTTAGTGATTGTAGTATAACTAGAAATATTTCATAGTTTAAATAGAAAATGTAGTGTAACTAGAAATATTCACCACGATTCTGCAAAATAGAAAATATTCCTTTTAGATAAATTTAAATCTTACTAAACTGTATATTTGTGTAAAAAAATTAAAGTCCAGTAGCTGGTAGAATACCTCGAGTGTAAAAATTGCAAGGAGATATTTGGAAACAAAAACTATCAGCGGAGGCAAAGCGTGGGATTTTCTTTGTGAGGCAAAAAGTAGGCAGTCGTTGTTCGATCTCTATCTTATATTTCACTGGAATACATTAACACTCATGTCATCAAGAGTGCCCGTGAAATTTTGCAATGTCCGGAGATGGTTTTTTAAAAAAAAAACTTTTTCGATATATCCCTAAGGTCACACACTATCAAGATGAATATATTTTTTCCCCCGTGTGTAGAAACAGCTATCATTTCCTTAATTGTATTTTTGGTTAATTAGTCTTGATCTCATAACTTTTTTCAAAAAAAATAGAAATTTCATTGATACTGAAATTTAGTTTTATTCACAAAGTTTGATTGAAAAATCGATGTCATCGGCGTTGATGTTTATGAAAGTTTAAGAGAGAGAAAGAGAACATTGCGAACTTTGGCTCCCTTTCGCTGATGCCGATTAGCGTCATTCTGGACCATATTCATCCTTTCGCATCTCTACCGCGATTGTAATGACGGGAAAGGTTCGAGATCGTGACCGAGTAATGGCGCAGAAGCGGCTGATGGCAGATTAGTGTGAGCACGTTCATACACAATCGTCGTTGTAACTTACCCAGAGCGCATCGCAGTTCTTTTATCGTAAATGAGGGATCATATCAAAAATCAATTTTCCTCTTTGTCGATAATAACAATAGTGTAAAAACAACTAGAATTCCAAGAAAAGGTATCAATTGAAATTTTACATTCTGTATTTACGGAATTTTCTGAAAAAAAACTACCTTCTGCAGAACGATTATATGAATCCAGAATTACCATATCGCTAGCGATGTAAATTCTTCACCCGATTAACTTTAAATAAATCAGATCAATCTATATTTCCACGTGATAGCAATTTTTTCTTCGCGTAACATTTCTTCTCTTTCTCAACCAACGTAATTAAATCTCAGATTATTACATTTCTATGCTTTCTTGATGTTGTGACTTAATTAATTTCAATTCTTATCCCTCGTTTGAAAGACGAAATCCCAAAGAATAAGCAGACTAATAAATGAAAATTGTTATGCATTCCCTCCTTGTAGAGAAATATTTTCTTTATTTTCCAAATGTTGCGTAATTAAATTTCCCTCCCGTCTATAAATATATAACTAGAAACGTTAATTACCCGGTCTGTATTGAAATTAGGTCTCATCCAATTTCTTCACACTAGAAATGTTCGCATACTGTTGCGTTATTGTGTGCTCTGTTTGAGAGAATAAAACAAAATGACTTGAATCCACGACACGAAAGGTAATTAATGATACGATTTTCTTAATGCAAAATCGGTCTGATGAAACTCATCTTTAAAGTATATATATATGGCGGCTTCTACCTTTTAGATCCGTGTATATAGAAAATGTGACTTATATATTCCCTAACATGAAAATGCTTTCGCATTGTAGAATCGTGACTGTAAAGACCCCTTCGATTACACGTTAGTATCTCCTCTTTCTTTAGATTCTTATTGATTTATTTAACAACATGTTATATGGTGACCTGCGAAAAAAAATGAGCAATCGTGAAAACCAGTTATGTCAGTGAATATGTGTATAAATTATTATTGTAATATATTTATACCATTTACGGTAATAGTTTACAGTAAATGGTACTGGGATGGGAAAAATTATTTTTCTCTAACATTACTGTTTAATATTAACGGAAAATAATTTTTCTA